TTTGATACGTTTATGTTCTCATTTTTTAGATCACCTCCTATATAATCAACTGTTGCTACAATGGCACGGTTTTATTCACCCTATGTTCGTAATTTGGAATTGAAAATTAAAATTCATTTGGAGACAAAAAGGGGAAACACCAAAAATATAGAAATGTAGATTATATTGTGTATTTATATTTTATAATTAATTAACATGATTTTATAATTAAGAATCATGTGAAAAAATAGATACTACGTAGCTAGGTTAAACTCTTAATAATTAAAATGAGTGGGTGAATGAATAATGTAAGGGAGATTAAATTGCATGCATGTATTAATTAAAGAGAAGAGGGGAGGCGAGTGCGTGGTTAACGTGAGAATGTATCAACTCATTCTAATTCTCTATTATTATATATACGTACTCTAATTAATAATATCGGGATGTGAAACAATATTTTACCACTGAATCTTAATTAATATAATTAATTTGGTGTAATATCTCACTCGCATAATTAATTAATTAATTAATGTCTAAATTAAACAAACAATCTGGCTGGACAGAGGATGTTGCTTAACGCATTTGTTCCTCGTAACTTGAGTCGGATACGGGCGCACGCCTGACGCACGTGATTCTTCTACCTCCAATCCATTTCTTTGAGTCCTCTCCAAGCCATATGGATGGATGGAGTATGTGTTTAGTTTATTTTCAAAACAAATGCCCAATGCCCTTAATTAATTTATGATCAACTCTATCCAAAATAAAAATTAAATTAAACTTCCATCGGCTCTTGTATTTTAATTTTCAACAAATAAATGTAATGTATAATATTGGGTTTACAACTAAAAAAAATATGCAAAATTAAAGAACTACTTCTTATTGATTAGTATGTTGTAGAAACTTGATACGATCATCATCCATATATAGTCCATACCTCTAATTTATAGTTTAAAAAAAAAAAGTAAAAAGATATATAGTATTATTTAATATTAAATGGTGTTGAGTACAAGAGTCAGAATTAAGGTCAAAGCCATGATTGTGGGACTGGTGAGTCAGCCCACTGCCCACTGAAGAAGAGTTTGCTAAATAAGGAGATGAGTCCGTTTTTGTGAATCACTTAAGCATCGGAGAACCGTCCGATCAAAAAACAGCTTCTTGAAGATGAACGCTTCTTCACTTGATTTGGCAAGATTACCGCAAAATCTGAACCGTAAGTAGAGGAGTCAATCTCACGGTAATGATAGATAGTGTAAATTGTGTCCAGAAAAAGTTGACAGGTTTGACCAGTCTTTATATATCATTTTTGTTCATTTCAGACTTTTAGTGGCAGCGTGAACCCTTGGACACGTCAACTCCATTTTGGTCCCAATTTTCTAATACAATAATATATATATATATATATATATATTTTTTCTTCTAGCTAGATTTTGAAATCTATTGGTTTGTTAAAATAATTAAAACAATTGTATTCTATATATATCTTTAGTTCGTCAAATAATTTTTTTAATCAAGTGACAGTAATCAGAAAATTTGAGTTTTCATCTTGATTCCATTAAGTGTGATTGATGAATAATGGTCTAAAGCATGTAATATATATAGTAACATGTATATATTATATGGAATATATATTAGTAGAAAATAAAAAAAGAGGGAGGTAGGTTCCCAAAAATAAAAAGAATGTAATTAGTCGGCCGTGTAAGCAAGAGTGAGGTTGCTTTTTGCCTGCCTCCACAGGGACAAATCTTACTTCGCCTTTACGTGTGTATGGTAATTAACTGAGTTTACAAACTACTACTAATTACTACTAATTACCACATACAAGGCTATTTATGTCTTTACACCTCTTCCCAACCTTATATACCCACCTTGTATTGAGAACAAAATGTATATTTTATTATATATATTATTATCTCTTAAAATATCTATTGTTTGTGATGATCATATATATGGGTTTGGATAAAAATGGAATCCAGGAGATAAGGTTGAAGATGAGGAGTTGGTGGATTACAAATGTATATAAATAATTCATATATACCAATCTACACATGCAAATGTGGACCAATACTTTTAATAAAGCGGATATTGGTCTCAACGAAAAACAAAATTAGAAAATATATACTATTATATATTAAAATGAATTATTTTGATGATATTATTACGTACGTCAAATGACTAAAACTTATTTTGGAACACAACAGTTGTCTGCAAAAATTTGATTTTATTTTCACATAATTTAAAGGTCGGGCTGATGATTTCATATATTATATAGTTTTGTAACATGACTTTATGAAGAATTAGAGGGAATTAGAGGCGGTAATTATATTATAATTATAATATTAATAAAACCATTGAAATTTGTAGCATGCCTCGACATGGTAGATTAGAGTTGGCGCCGTCTATTTCTTTTTGTTCCTATATGTATATATATATCCCATAAGTAATTTCCAAATCAAAAATAATTAATATTGTCACGTTTTCCAATTAACATGAAATCGGCATAGAATTCAACTTAACCTAGTAGTTTCAAGAAAAGGGAGAAAAATAAGTGAAAAGGACAAAATAAATAAAAAAACAAAACAAAACAAAAGGAATAGATGATGAAGAAAACCAAAGTATAAAAAAGTCCCGAATATTAAGCAGAAGAAGGCCAATGATGGATGGAGTAGTTAAAGTAATTAAAATAAGTTTAGTTAATGGGGATTAGTGAGGATTTAGCGTAACGAACCATAAATGGGGATTAGGCGGAATTAAAAAGAGGTGACATGATTAATTGTTGCTTAACGTATTTAACAACCCTATTTTGGGGCCTTGTTAATGTTTTTTTAATTAGACGAGTTTAGTTATGTTTGCACTAACTCTCATAATTAATCCAACTCACTAGTATAATATTGCAGCGAGCTCTCCTATATATATATATAGATGCTATACCCCTTGAAAAATTTAACCCTTTTTTATTCTTCTCGTTTTGATTTATACTCAATGACATACATATTATTAAATTGTTAATTAACTATATACTCTGCATGATTGAAGTACTAAAATTTATAATTGTTTTTTTGAATGAACTGATAAGCTATTTGTTCAGCAGCAGAACTGCATGCGAAAAGTCATTTAAGAAGAAAAAAAAACATAGAATAAGTAAAAAGTAGTCACAGATTACTAATATATATTGAGTGGATGAACATAAAATAAAAACATGCAGTAGTCTTTGACTAATATAACAGGTCAGATGTCATTGTTACGAGGGTTCTTTTTTCTTGTCTAATTTTCAATTTTTTTTGCTTAACTATTGTCCTGACATTGACATTAATATTAATTGTAATAAGAAATTTAGGAATTAAGTATGATAAATATTTATGAGTAGGTCTGGTCGACTAATGAGACGAGAACCAACAAAAATATAATTAACAACACAGGCATATGTATTATAAAGACCTTGATTAATTATCTGGTTCTTAAGCAGGCCAATAATTTGTTGTATTTAAACAGATGATCCAAGGCTGCGGGTATCCAATCCAACCATATAAAATTACAAATATTATTTTACTCATTTTTTTTTTAGTTTCTTTTTGCCATCTATTTTACCTACACATACCTAATTATAAAAAAAAAATGAGTTAAAAGTAAAATCAATAGAATTATTATTATGAATTTAAATTTCAAAGTATTAATAAAATAAGATGAAGTATTGGGGCAGCGCCGTAGAAATGACATGCAAAAAATTGCCAGAAATGAACGCAACAGCAACGTCTACATTAATAGTTAATTTGATTGATTGGTTTGACTTGTATATATTTCAAATGCATGCCCCTAACCTAATTATTATTGTTGTCAACATCTAATTAGACTTTAAGTAAAATTAATTTGGCAAATACTACAAATTGGGCTGAAACCAACCTTTAGCTTCAGGTATACATAGGCCCAAATTACCTGATTTTAGTTAGGATAATAATATCCACTATTCGCCGATATTAAGAGGTCTAGTTAATTAATTGGATGATTTAAGGACTGATGAGGCCGTTTTAGTTTGAGCATAGAAATGATTTAAATTAAGACAATTTCGTTTTCCAACATTGCTTGTAGTGTACTCATATATATGACATATGCATGTTAGAAGATGATTTTATTTTGTTGCACAAATTTGTTTTGAAACATTAATATTTAATAGTTGTTGATTATAATTAGTAAGTGAAGGTATATATATTAAAGGTGGATGTTATGATTATGGTTCTATTATGTAGCACATGCCTGAAGATGCTTCAGCTAGCAAGCAGAGCATATATATATAAAGAGAGAATGGATCTGATATCTCTAAGTACATGATTAATCATGATACCTAGCTTAGCTAGCTAGGGTTATATAACCCTCCTCATTCAAACACATCATATCATATCATATATTATATGCATCTCTGCCTAACTGACCCAACTACTAAAACTGATTTACTTCATTATTAATACTAAAAAGTGAGGGTTTAATCAAATATTTCTTACAAAATATATGTTAATCAAGTACTGGAAATATATATTTATTCATAGAACAAAGGCATATGCATGCATGTGATTTTGATGAAAGTTTGTTAGAAATAATAATGATGATGGTGAGAAAGGCAATTCCTAGCTAGTTAACAATTAATAATAATAGATATTTTGTGCTTGGGGTGGGGTTCATTAAAACCAAGTGGATTGTTTGATTAATTGGAAGACTAAAATGATTAATATTATGCATTTCCAGCACGCAGTTGAGATAAGTGATTTTAGATTTGTGTATTTGCTTTATCCACTCCCACCAAACTTGGAATGTATGTATGGCCTTCATCATGTTCTCTAGCTAGTCAAATGCTTGCCTTTCAAATCATCATTTCTTTTTAATCAATTTTTTATTCGACAATGTATGTTGATTTAATTCTCTGTGCATTATTATAAACATTGGGCCCAAATTGTCAACGAGTGGGCTCAAATTAAACCCACTCTAAAATTCATAATTTGAAGAAAATAATAATTTCAAAACAAGCTGCCACATTATAAGACACTGCAACCGTCCAGCCTTTAATTTATAGCCCACATGCATGCCATTTTCTGTTAATATTCTCATAACACATCACATTCTACTTTTTAAAAAAATGTAAAAAAAGAAAGAAGACAGATGGATAGAGGCAAAATCGTTGATTAATACAAATTAATTATGTAACAACGGAAGTTATATATATAAGCTAAGTGTAAGATTGCATATACCAATCCGGTAACATTGTCTTTCAGGAAGGCCGGTTGTAATTGGGTGGAGGAACCGATATCCGAACCGGAATGGGGCGGCCGGTCCCTGTTCCACCGCAGCTACTACAGGCCATCCGACCGGAACCGGCACAAGTCCGGCAACCAATGTCACCATCCGACCAGCGCTTGCAGAGACAGGTGGAACGCCCGGAGCCGTTGCAAGTGGAGCATCTGGAACCCATAGTCGTGTTTTCGTCAATCACTTGTTTCACGATAAGTGCGCCGGCTAACACGCCGAACCCGGTGGCTAGCTGAGTTAACACGAGTGGGCCCATATATACTGCTGGTTTTTGCTTTCCTTATAGCTTGAGTTAACAGGAATGAGAATGTTGAACGGAAAATAAACAATTAGAAGCAGATATTTATTTATTATCTTTGTGGGGGGGGGGGGGGTGATTTATCAGAAAATTTTGAGGGGTTTGCGTGAGGTGGAATAGTACACGTAGCTCCCTCCCTTGGGATTTAATTTAATTTAAATGGACATATATGGGCCGAGAAAATATATCCTAGATGCCGAGGCCCATTATTTTTTATGTGGCCCAAATTTAATGTCCAAGTGGATAGAAAAGATGTCGGCTAGAGAGCCCCTTTTGTCATTAATCATTATATTATTATTCAAAACAAAAACAAAAAAGCAAAAAAATAATTAATAAAATTATATTATATGTGTGTCGGTGCAGGGAAGTCTGTTTCAAATACTTATTTTGGGTTATTTATTAATAATAAATATAGTAAAATTAAAATTAAAATACAAATAGTTAAAAAAATACTTTATCTTATCATATCAAGTATATATCATACACACACAGGGCATCCAAAATACAAATAGTTAAAAAAATGATAGATCTACTGGCTAACAAATCCAAATATATATATATGCTTTCATTATTTAAATTCATCCATTCATTTTTTGTGTAGTCACAGTCACACGTGATCATGTCTCAATTTTTTTTGAAAATATATACTCAAAATTCGCTTGAATACTTCCATTTCATTTGATATATGTACTCATAATTAATTTAGGTCGATTAACTCTAATTTCAATTTCAAAAAATAGAATAATAATTTATTGATTTTAACCATATATAAATAATTAAGATGACCGACGTTGGATAGAGCCTTTGAAATTCGAAACAAAAAATAAATAAAATGATTAAGTTGTTTTCATCACTTTTCACTTTTCACTAAAAACAAAAGAAGGAATTACAGACCACCATCATAGGTAGCTAGCAGAAGTGGGTGGTGGTGGTGGTGGTGGTGGTGATGTTAGTGGGTGGAGGCGGAATCTGAAAATGCCAAAGCCTCCCGACCGCCTTAACCAAATGCTTCTTGCACAGAAACATTTCCCCGTACATTTTCTCCACCCTCCGGTCCACGTCGTGCAAGAACACGTGCGTCACCCCCTCTTTTTTCCTGTTCCTCGCCATCACCGCCGCCGAATATATCGCCGCCATCCTCCCCGGCGCCTCCGCAAAGTACCCCCGCGGCGCGTCTATCATTATCAAGTCCCATTCTGTATCGTACACCTTGTCCGACAGCATGTTAAGCGCTAACCTGCATTTAGTGTTGCCACGTATGAATGATCTGGTTGCAGAGCAGTCTGGTTCATTCCGGTAGTGGAGGAGCAGTTCGTCCGCCTGGGAGAGTTGAGTTCTGTAGGGCACCGTTTCGGCGTGGAGGGCGTGGGCGGCGTCGCCTTTCAACACCGCACTGAACCACTTGGGATCCTCTTCAAGGAATAGCGTCGTGCCACGTGGATTGAGTGCGTTCCACATCAGGGAATCGTGTCCCAGCCCGAACACCAGGAAATTACACGCTCCTCCCCCCACGGATTTCAGAACATCGAATGTTACAGTTATCTCGCCGATGGACTGCTGTGGCACAGTGCGCAGCGTCGCGTAGTGGACAATGGCTTCCAGCTGCTGAGGCGTCGTCGTGGCGGCGGCGGCTTTACTGGCGCCGCCGCAGAAGAGCGGTGAAGGGCGGTTAGTAGTTAAGAAGAAAGCAAATAGCAGCGCACCGCCGAGCAAACCCCCGAGCAGGAGACCGAGAAACCATGGGTTCTCGGGCTTGAAGTAGTGTTGGTTCTCGTTTTGGATTTTCTGCATATTTTGTTGTTTTAAGAATTGAATTGAATTGATGTCCTTTTTTATTTACCCCACAGGCAGAGGCAGTACAGTGTGTAGTATTGATTCAACAAGTCGACGAATTGAATAGAAAGACATGATGTGATTGGCAAATAAATACCCAATTAATTACTACAAATGTATGGGGATGCATATAAATAATATTTCAAGGGTCGATGACACATCTCCTCTAAACAAATCATTCACCTACTTCACATTAAACCTCATCTACCTTTCTCATTATCTATATATCTCTTTCATCACTCATTCATTATGTATGCTCGCTACTTCAAATTATTCATAATTTCGACACACTAATAATCAATCATCATTCCAACTACTGTTACTTCAAAACAAATCCCGACTCACACCAAATTAATTGTTCTTAATCAAATTATCTTGCTGTTATCTACAGTCTTCAAACATTAAATAACAGCTCAACCTCACTATTAAAACTGTCCAATGAATTCTGCAACATTGTCCCCTTCCCACAAAATAGAAATTCACTGGACGCCGTTTACATGCCCAAGAACTGTGAACAGAGAATGGTTAATTCAATATATTAGAAAAGAAATCAGCACTAGCACCACCACCGTATGGTGGTGGTGGTGGTGGTTTGGAGAGGTGGATATCCTGAAAGTTGGTGTTTGCGGGGAATGATTGAAAATTGGAATGGGTGAAATGTTGTCCAGTTAGCCAGAATTCGGATGAAGAGAGAGGCACAGCTTCTGGTATTGAATGAAATGCTGGAACTGGAACGGATTCTTGTTGAGATGAAGAATCCCATGAGGAATTACTTGACAGAAGAGAGAGAGCACGATCATACTCCGGTGCTGCTGCTGCTGCATCTACGCATGATGACATCATCGATCCCTTTGAACCACCACCTATCAGAGTATAACACAGACACAGAGATCGATATTTTAAACCATCGAGATGTATGTAACACGAGCAGTATGCGTTGTTTGAGAATAACATAAAGAATAAGATAGACCCTGTTATAGGAAATATGAACCTGGATTGAAGACCTCAGAAGTGGCATTCTTGGTTGCAAAGAGTAACGCGTTGTCTGCATTTGGCATATAAATGGCATTTCGCAGCTTGGTTCCTGGAGTGTGCAACTGTTCATCAGTAACTCCATCTCCATAAGACTTTGAAGGACACCCTTTTGTCAGTGTGAACTTGGAGTTGTAACCACTATCCCATGCACAACTTTCTGGAGTTTTGAGTGGCGAACTGTTCAATACAAAACTCATCTGCTTGCTTCCACCTGTGCATGTAAAAAGCAAATTCGAGATAACATCAGGAACGAATCAGTGGTGCTACTGATGTTCAACTTTTGGAAAGATAACATGGGTATGGGCGTGGGGGCGGGAGAGGAGAAATATAGTTAAAGCATAACTTATTATGGCCGGAAAGTAAGCTAGCCATAATCCTTGTGTGAGAACAGTCTTTGCTTACTTTTATCGAGTCATGTTCTGTTAGTTGTTGATATGTTCTCATATCCTGAATAAAATATGCATGCAAGTCACCTGTTTTTCATCTCAAAGTCCTACTGATGGTTTTCCCAAACAGAGTATATAGAATACTCAGTGTTTCACATGTATTCTATCCCCATTAAATGGAAAGACAATGAAATGAGATAAATCTGCACATAAGCTAATTTAGACAAACTTATAAGCCTGCTTCGTATCTATGACTATTTGATAATGGATAATGGGACATCTGGTGAAGTTTATGCGGACAATAGAAACTGTGTTAAAAAGTTGGAAAAACAGAGGGTAAAAACAACTACATCCAGTACCATAGAATGGCGATGAGAGCCTAGTAGGATTAAACTGGATAGTTTCCTGTTGTGGCTTGCGGCGCCGTGCATTATGGTCAGACAGTCTTCTTCGGCAACTGCGCTTCTTTTCATCAAATTCAGACAAGCCATGGAACCTTCACATATAGAAGCAGCATTATTAAATCTTCGAAAAATCATTCAAACTAGGCTAAAAGGGTTTAGCATGAAATAGAATAAGAGGGCAGTCATATTGGCATCAACATATATTGCTTAATTGTATGCATCTTAACAAATATTATTTTTTTCTCATAGAAAATTACCTACTGCACTGCTGGCAAAATCTGCGCTCAAGTCCTCCAACAATAACCTTTGGGCATTTCGAATGATTGTCACAAACTCTATGCTTTCGATGATATTCTTTAGCCAGTGAAAGATCAGTGATGCAGCCTTGAACTTGACAACATATTCGGGCATTTTGCTTAGTTTTCTTCAGGGTAGTGGATGATGGAGTTGGTGTATGCATCATTGGAAAGGAGGCGGCGCTCTTAACTGTGCCTCCAGCACCAGCACCACCACCGCCGCTATTTTCAAAATAAGTCCTCTTCCCAAGCTTCAAACCAATCAATGGTTCGCCTGAGCCAACAGAAGCTTCCGGCTTTGGGGAAGTTTCTAGAAACTTCGTTCCGTTCATTTCCATTTTCTTGCTAAAATTTCCAGAAGAGCCTTCAAATTTACCGAACCTGAAATTGTGGGTTTGCATTCCATCTTTGGTGGTAGAATCGGTAGAAGCTGATATGGAACTCTTAACTGAAGATCCATGTCCACCATCAGAGACAGAGGTAACACTATTGCCATCAAATGCAGACAGATTGAAAGATCCAGCATTGTTATCTGCATCATCAACAATCATCCAATCCGCTAATTGCAGCTTTTTAGGACTTTCGATTGCTTTTGGGCCAAATGCAACAAAGCTTTCCCAATCCCACTTTGCATTGCACTCCATCTCATAAAATTGGCTCATTAAACAGCCCAACTCAGTTATCTTTCTGCACAGAGTGCATTCATTGTAAGCTGAAACCAGATCTGCGAATTGTAAAATCACGACTAGTCAAAAAGCACGAAACTGAAAAATGGAATTGTACATATAGCTAATGTAGACAAAGTGTTGAGTATACTATCAGAAACTGTACCCTGGAGATATGATAATTAATCACCCCATGAAGAAGCTAAGGTACCCTGTTTCAAGAAATTGACGAAATCGCAAAGAGAGGAATCAATATGCATTTAAGAAAAAGAAAATGAAAAAAAAAAATAGCAGTCAGCCCAAGAAATAGACAAAATTCCAAATACAAAAGCAAGCAAATAACAAAAATACCATCTTTGAACAAGGGAATCCCTAACATAATGATAATCACAGCTCCACTAGTAAATAAACGTCACATACCATCATCATCTACCACTCAAAGCATAGCTTTTCTTATGATTTGGTAAAAAGGAAGAAGGTGAGATGAGGTTACAATTCCTCCCCTTTACCGCACCAGATCAAAGAAAAGTGAAAGAAAAACAAATCTACTTACTCCCGTATATTCACCTTCCTTAAAATAAAGTAGCTAATTATTTGTTCCTGTTATATTGCAGTCAAACTTGTTGATGTGTTTCACCACCACATTATCTATCCTGCACAAATAAGCAAAACAAACGATTGAGAACTGTTGGCCAAATAAATTCGGAAATAAAAAAAGTCAGAAACGTCTTAAAATGTCGCTTTCAATTCCTTTGCCCACCTACCCCACCATCTCGTCCAAGGAAACACACACACACACACACACACACACAGTGTAATGAGTAAACAGTTGATTCTCAGAAAGAAAATAGAAATGTGAAATTATGTTTCAATCTTGGAAATGTTGACCCACAACATATGATCTGAAGAACTAGAAACCCACATTTGAATATTTCACCAAAAACAGGGTTACTTTTTGAACACTTTATGTTGATGTTGTTGATCCGGCAGTTACGGGTTTTTTTTTTCTTCTTTTCATTGGAATCAACAACTGAACATTGAAGGAGATTAATGAGAAACTCTTCCCATTTCAAATGGAAAATAAAAACAAAAAGGAGTAGAGAGAGAGAAAGCAACTTTCTTCCCCAATTTCAAAAAAATGAAATTACTTCCCATAGTCGGAAAAATTAAACTAATAAAGCCCTTACAGAAAAAAAAAAAAAAATCTACTGTTTGTCCAAAAATAGCAACAACAAAATCAGAAGTAATCAATTTCCACAGGCGGTTTGCTAGCTAATCAATCATTGCAAGGGATTAGCAGCAGAAGATGGCTAGTTAATCGGATGAATGAAGCACTGAAGAAAGAAGTGTAAAGAGTAAAGAGAGAAGCTGCGTACCACCCATGTAGAGAGAGAATGGAAAGACAAGAGAGAGAGAGAGAGAGAGAGAGAGAAAAGGGAATGGGGAATGGGAAGAGGAAAGTAGGCGGTGTATTTGTTTTGCTATATGCAGAAAGCTGGGAGACTTATTACTTACTATTCCTATTAAATATCTTATTAAAAAAATATATTTTATTTTTGGGGGTTTTTGCATTAAGAGTTAGTTTGCTCTATTTGTGTTCAATACTCTGTTGTGCATTGTAATAGTGATAAAATTAGAAGAATATAATTAAATTAGGAGAAGATTAAAATGTGGATGGGGGATGGACGAAAACACGGCGTCGGCGTGAGGTGTTTTTAGCGTTTGAGCAAGTGGCAAATTAATTCAACACGTGTAGGGTGGAGATTGGATGGGGGTGGAGGACAGAAGAATGGGGTTGTCTTGTAGCAAAGTTGGTTCTGACGACGACTGGTAATATGCCAGAAACAAGTGGGTGCTGTGGACTGATTAACACAATGGGATGATGATGATGATGAATTGAGTATTCAACTGGGTCGCTCTAAACGAGTGTTTTGCTGTTATAAAAAAATTGAGTAGTAGCAGCTAAAAGTGAGGTTATTTATACACATATACACATTATATAAATTGGTGTGTTGTTTAAGGTAAGGTTGGCACCACTGAAACTGAGCTTGTTACTAATTTCACCCACTAGCCACTGCCGCTATGTCTTTAGAGATCCAATAATAATGGGCCTGTAATATTTTCACATTAATTACACTTACATTGTTTTAGATATTAAATGATTATATTGTGTACAGACTACAGATAGATATATTTCACAGCATTCGGAAAGTATGTATAATAAATAGTGTGTAATTAAGGCAAAGATTATATTAAAGAAATTGCAAGAAAAGAAGGGTATTGGGGAAGATAATTTATTTGAAAATATAGGAGTACATTGTGTGTGTGCAGGAGAAATTAATTTGAGTGAACAAAAAGAGAGAAAGAGTAGATGATGTGGGGGGTTGGGTTAATTAAGCCATCCCTCCTCCACTTGTAGCCGTCCTGATTATCTGGAATAGAGCTGTTTGTGAGAAGGGAGGGGTAAACATACATATATATTTTAAAAGAAAGAAAGAAAGGAAGGAAAAAGAGAGAGTGGGGAAGAAATAATGGTTACTCACATGAACCAATGACAACAAAAATGAAGAAGCCAAGCAAGACAGGGCCAACTGGGAATTAAGTCAGTTGTCGTCTCAGGTACTGAACCTCTCTTTGTTATATTCTTCTCAAACCTCTCCACCTTCCTCTCAGCAACTCTCCTTGAAGTTGTCTGTATTAATTCAGATCAACAAATACTTCAATGCTTGCTTCCTAACTCTCTTTATTCAATTTCCAGCACACACAATTACTTACTTTTTTCCATTTCAAATGAATAATCAGATCAACACACATAAAAGATAGTCACATTTATTTCCTGATTTTTTTTTTTATTTTGTCAGAATATTCTAACTATTCAAAGGAAAGAAAAAAGTAAAAGTACGATCAACACGAGAACAAGACCTATGAGATTATTTATTTATCTTCAAAAATAAATTATGCCATCGATTCTCAAATAAATTCCGTAACACAAATTCAACAGCAAATGCATCGAATATTTCACAAGCTTATATACACCATTAATAACGGAATCTATACGATCTACATTGACGAGGTTTCACCTAACCTAAGAAACACACACACACACACACACATATAGAGAGAGAGAGAGAGAGAGAGACAAACAAACAATCGGCATATTTGGGTTCTATGAAGACGAATTATTACCATTCTTACGGTGAGAAACGATGGATATCCGGTGAAATCCGAAGAATAGATTCAGGCTATTTTGCTCCGGCGAGGCAATTAAACACCGATCTCCTCCTCTTTATCTATTTTTTTATGGTTTTCTAAATTCCCAATATTTATTATAAATAAGATATACTACTAATTGTCAGTCCCATTATGGACGCGTCACTGGCTAGCTTGTAATTGGGTCAAACACGTATACGTTGTACGTGGCATGATCTTATTGGAAGATTTCGGTATGCATAGATTGGGCTCACTACTTGCAATTTATGGGCTATAGAAATTAATTGATTGCCCATTTAATTCTTTCTGAAACCAATGGGCTGAGCAAACTCAATTTCAAACCTACTGGACCCAATACAAGCATAATGCAAATTAAATTCCACTACCTACTACCAATATAAATATGTATAAAATCACCACATGCATGCATGATGCCATTTAAAGTAAAACATCTTACATATTTAATATAAATTAATTCTCCAAAATACATTAACTCACCAATTAATAACATTATACCTCATACGTTATACACGTACGTGTAGACTGCATTGTTTGATCCCCTTAGTTTTTCAATCAAATAAAGAAAAATATATTTTATATATATATATATATTAAAAAAAAAAAAAAAAAAAAAGGAATAGAGAATAGGTTTGGCAAGTTCCCACCTTCAATCACGTGGATGGATCGGTATCATACAAGTTTAATCAAACTAAACCCCACCGTACCATTGAATTGTTCCATTAGGCATCAGCTAATTAAATAATTATGCACTTGTTTAATTAACCCGGCCAAAGTGATTATGTTAATGAATATTATTATTATTATTATTATTATTATGAAATGCCCACATTTTCTTCCTTTTTACAGGAGATTTGTCCACGTATGCACTAATCTGACGGTCCTAAAAGGTAGGCTGTGACTGTGAAGTATTGCCGGCAAATGGAGCATTAGTGTGAAATATATATAATTTTTTTAAGGGCTAAATGAATGACAGTCTTCTTTTATATATATATATATATATATATATATATAATATATGATGATGATATGTGGAATTGGAATATTGGTAATAAAGAATTAGTGGTGATGTTAGGTGGTAGTCAGCTTTGAAAATGTCAGGTGGAATGTCTTAATCTTTGATTAATTTCTTAATATTTGTGCTAAGTGTTTCTTATAAGATGACATAAGAATGTTTCTTCTTGTTATTTGTTTGGAGGGATATAAACCTATTTCAATTATTGAGTGGATGATATATGTTGAAAAGACATCCTAAGGTTCTTTCTATCTTTTTTAATTCTTAAATTAAATTAAATTAAATTTTCCTTAAAAATTAAAATACATAGAATTAACGTGTTTATTTATTAATACTAATACTAATAAATGAAAAAGAGCAATAGTATATTATGGAGGATTTATTAGTTAGCAAGTTTGGAGGAAAATATGGGCAGCTTATGACGAAAAGTTTTATCCAGAAACGAACGCCCTTTAATAAATGTTCCGGTTAACTTTTTTATCCTGATAGCTAGCTAGAAAAATAATGTCTTCCACCTACTGCTTGCTGCCTATATTATTATTATGAATACATTTTTTAGTTTATATTAGTATGCAAATATAAATGCTGCTGCATATATTGACCATTCCCTCTATGTTATTATAAAATTTTCCGGATTAAATACAAAACTCATCTAATATTATTTATTCAAGTGTTCAAACAGAGGAATTATTCAATTAACTATATAAAAATATGTATTTGAATTAGATAAAATTGTAAAGTAAAATTAGGCCCACAGCCGGTCCCCGCGAGAGGCAACCATTACCAACGGCTTGGAGAAATTGAAGATAAGCACTAGAAAACACTTACTTTCAGAAGTAGCAGAACGACCCCATCAGGCCACGTGGCAGTGAGATGCTCCCGAAAAGAAAAATTAAAAAAAAAAAAAAGAAAAAAAGAAATGAAAGCCCATAATGGGCTATTATGTATGTAAGGCGGGTCAACCTCCTTGGTCCAGCCTGGTGGCCTGACGTGGGCCGTCGCTTTCACAGCCCAAAATACACAAACGCAATTATATTTTATTAATTAAATTATATATAAAATAAAATAAATAAAAGGAAAAAGAAGGAAAAGTGGGTGTGTACTAGAACTAGTGATGGCCTAATCACTTGGTGACAAAGCATCGCCCAAAACACACAGTATCTATATCTATATTATGCCTCTCGACTTTCACCATAATCACAATCTTGCCACTCATTTTTTTTTTTTTTTTATTTATCAAGTTCCACTTTTAATGCCAATAATGCCCCTGGAATAATGTTGCCTTTATATTTCATATTGTGAATAATTGATAAAAAATAAATGGGTCGATGAGAGGAAAGACAAGGCAATATCCAATCATAGAATTAATAGAGGTTTGTTGGGTACAACCCATCAAACTCAATTTTGTCTCTGCCAAATATTTTGAATCCAGCATTTCAATTTCTTGAAATGTAATTAATTGCTAATTACTATATGGTCAAATTATAACAAAGAGCAAATATAAGAGAGCATGTCCCTGCTCAAAGTGACGCCATTGTTTTCTGATCTCTAAAAAGAATAAAAAAACATGAATGAATGACTAAAAAAGTTATATATAACATGTTATATTGTCCAAGATGTATGGAACTCATCATGTGGTGGTGTTATGCATTGTGGACAATTTAGTGGCGGACATTATTGCATTTCTCTTTTATTTTATTTTTTTATTTATTTATTTTTTCGAAAAAATTATGAGGGAAAAAAAATGGTCTGTAATTGATAATTTATGATAAAATATGGACGAACTCATTGTTCTAATATAGAAATTAGTTAAACTTGTGATGATGCTGATTAGTCATGAATTAATAATAATTATATATAAAAATATGTTTGAGATTGTAGGAAGAAAGTTATATATAGTGGTGTAAACCAACCTGTATGATCATCTAACAGTAGTTTAGATTCTTATAATTAAAGCAAACAAATACAAAACATAATAACACCTTGATGCTTGCTGCTACATCATGGGGCCTCACTTTCCAAATTCTCTTTCTTGCTTCTTTCTTTTTTTTTATATATATATATATTTATATTCTCCTTCCTTCCAACTCCAACTCCAACTCCAATTCCAACTTGGGTGCTCTCCAGTTTTCTTGCCCAATTAAAATTCATCTAAAGTAAAAGGGGGCATCATGCAAATTCCAAATATAGTGATTGATGATATTTCACTATGATTGTAAGGGTAGTTAGGACTTTTCACAGAGATGCACACGGATAGGAACAATAGTGTAAAAACTCCTTGGCGTGTAGGACTTGTCCAGTGAGATGTGAACACCAATGGAAGGAAGTTGGCAAAAGCTGTGATTTTCTTTTTTCTTGCTGAGTGGGAGTATACCTTTTCTGCCCTCTTTTATTAAATACATTATTGTAACCCCATTCCCTTTTTTTTTCTTTTTCTTTTTTTTTTTTCTCTCTATTACCAGGGTATTCTTGCAATAATAATAATAATAATTAACTAATTAATGTTAAACTATGTTGTGTTAATGATATTGAATTAAAAAATGTATAATTGGATTAAATAAGCAGTCTGGGTCCGATGGAGATAGATGGATGGATGAAATGGGATAGAGATAATGGTTGTTTGCTAGCAGACATTTTCTACCACCATATTCCCCTCATCTTGCTTTCACAGATTCTTGTTGCACAGTGTCCATATTAATCAAAATTTTTTCCTTTTCTTTTTTTCTTTTTTTCTCTTTCTTCTTAGATGCTTTTTTTTCTCCATCTCTTTTCTTTTCTTGTAGTGGGAGCATTTATTTACTGCAGCAATCATTAATCTTTCAAACTTATTATTACCTCGGTTCTTGTTTTTGTTGTCTTCAGCTCCAGTACTTGCCTCATTCCAGAGTCAAACTCACTTGTCGGATTACTTTTCATTTTCTTAAAAACACAATCTTTACTTCTCCAAGATTCTCGTTTTGAGGGTTTTACTTGAAGATTTGATTGTTGTTGTTAACAAGACTATCTTTCTTTCCTTGGTTCTGGTTTGAGCATTTCTTGTTTGTTAGCTACCAGGATAGAAATCAAAATTCCGTTTGTATTTCAACCCCTCCAAAAAAAAAGAAGAAAAAAAGTTGGTATCTTTGGTGATTCCTTGATTCTTCCTGTGGTGGGAGTGTTTGGGAATTTCTTATCTCCTTCAATTCCTGGTCTTTTTATTTTAGTTTGAAGTTTGTTTGAAGCAGTATAGTTGGATAAGAAGCATTATTTGTCTGTAAGCAGCCTCACATGAATCCTTGTCTATTTTTGGGCCGATTTTTTTGAGGTAAAAAGATGAGATTTGGTGATGGTGGATTTACCTGTGAAAGTTTGTTGAAATTTGTGTAGGGATATAAATGAATTTACTTCATGTAATTGGGAATCTTGTTTTAGTGGTGTGCTGCTGGTTTCTGTCTCTAATATCTTTAAATTGGGTAAGTAATGGAGGAATCATGACTGTGAAGAGCGGTTTGATTGGGGGTGATGGGGGCCAAATATGGATGAAATTGTGGGATCAGATATCAGTGTTTGGTTGTAAGATCCAGCATCATTATTCTCAGTATATTGGGCCTAAGAAATTGAGGAAGAATTGGTGGAGGAAGCTTCTGATAGCATGGATATTATGCGGGATAATTTTATCATTGTCTGTATTTTGGTACATGAGCTCACTAGCTCTGGATAAAAGAAAAGAGACACTTGCTAGTATGTGTGATGAGAGAGCTAGGATGTTGCAAGATCAGTTCAATGTTAGCATGAACCATATTCAGGCTATGTCTGTCATCGTCTCCATTTTTCACCACGACAAGAACCCCTCTGCTATTGATCAGGTTATTTCAAGATTGCTTTTTTATATCTCTTGAAACATCTTATTTAGATTCAAAATTTAAACTTTTATTTTTTTTATTTTTTGAGAATTGCAGACAACTTTTGCTAGATATACGGAACGTACATCGTTCGAGAGACCTCTTACGAGCGGAGTAGCATATGCTGTGAGGGTGCTCCATAGTGAAAGGGAGCAATTTGAGATACAACAAGGATGGACTATTAAGAGAATGGATGAACAAACACCCGTTCATGAAGATGAATATGATCCCGCCGATCTCGAGACTTCACCTGCACATGACGAATATGCCCCTGTTATCTTCGCTCAAGATACCGTTGCTCATGTCATTTCTGTTGATGTCCTCTCAGGAAAGGTAAAAAAGGAAAAAAAAAATTGAGTTCTTTAGTCCTTACATAATCATGATTATTGTGTTCGATATATGTTATGATTCATTTATATATATATTAATATTACAGGAGGATCGAGACAATGTTTTGCGTGCAAGAGAATCGGGAAAGGGGGTCCTCACTGCTCCATTCAGGTTATTGAAAACAAATCGATTGGGGGTGATTCTGACTTTTGCTGTATACAAGAGAGAACTCCCTCCTAATGCAACCCCTGCTGAAAGAATTCAAGAGACTGCGGGGTATATATATTTATACCCTTTGGCTTTAAATTATGTCGTTTGAATTTTCTTTGTAATAAAAAGTAAAATATATTTCCACTTATTTCGAATAGGTATCTTGGAGGGATCTTCGACATTGAATCACTTGTAGAGAAACTGCTTCAACAGCTTGCTAGTAAACAAACTATTATAGTGAATGTGTATGATACAACGAATTTCTCCGATCCTATAAGCATGTATGGTTCAAACACGTCTTCTGATGGGATGCACCATGTCAGTGCTCTTAACTTTGGGGATCCTATCCGAAAGCATGAGATGCATTGCAGGTGATTTTAACTCATTCTTTCTTTATTAAAAAAATTAAAAATGAAAAAAGCTATGAGCAATCTAGATATAGTCGGAGAATAAGAAGATTTTTAATGGTATTGTTGACAGATTCAAGCAAAAGCAACCATGGCAATGGGTTGCAATAACTACATCGGTTGGCATACTTATAATTTCGTTGCTCGTGGGGCATATATTCCATGCTACGGTGAATCGAATAGCCAAAGTTGAGGACGATTATAATCACATGATGGAACTAAAGAAACGTGCTGAGGCAGCTGATATTGCAAAGTCTAAGGTCTTTTTTTCTTTTTTCTTTTTTTTTTTTTTATTTGACGGATTATTATTATATATTTTTTGAAGTAAAAGATGTAGTGGAGATGAATCTAATTGAATTATTTATTTGTGACGCAGTTTCTTGCTACCGTTTCGCATGAAATCAGAACCCCGATGAATGGTGTTCTTGGTCGGTGAATAAACTAAAATCTTTTGTTCAAAGAATTTGTTTGAGAATGTCTTACAATGTGTTAATGTGTGTTAACCAGGAATGTTGCAAATGCTAATGGATACACGACTAGACGAAACTCAACAAGATTATGTGAGAACTGCAAGGGAGAGTGGTAAAGCTCTCGTTTCACTCATAAATGATGTTTTGGACCAAGCTAAGATTGAATCTGGTAAACTCGAGCTCGAAGAAGTTAGCTTTGATTTGAGGGCTGTTATAGATGATGTTTTATCTATGTTTCTTGGAAAGTCACAAGATAAAAAAGTCGAGGTAAACTATACATTTATATTTTTGCCATTTTCTAGTTTCTTTATTTGTTTTCCCGTTTTATCACTGGTCTAATTAGAGATCCCTGTTTATTTCTTTTTTTGCAGTTGGCAGTTTATGTGTCTAGTAAAGTCCCCGCTACATTGGTTGGTGATCCTGGAAGATTCCGCCAGATTGTTACAAACCTCGTCGGCAACTCAATTAAAGTGATTTTTTAATCTAATATTTCACTAAATTTATTTTTCGTTCCGTTTTATATCTAGCATTTTAACAATAATATTTGATTAATGCAGTTCACGGATAAAGGACACATATTTGTGACGGTACATCTCGTTGAAGAAGCTTCGGAAATGGAATTCGAGAGAGACGAGTCCTTGAGCGGGTTGCCAGTTGTTGACAGAAGACGAAGCTGGTCCAAGTTCCGATCTTTCAATCAAGAATCACCCGCCACGTCATCATCATCCTCGGACCAAATAAACATCATGGTATCAGTTGAAGACACTGGTCAGGGAATCCCTACGGAAGCTCATTCCTCTGTATTCAACCCCTTTATGCAAGTGGGCCCCTCAATCACACGCACCCACGGCGGCACAGGCATCGGCCTCAGCATTAGCCAGTGCTTGGTCCACCTCATGAAAGGTGAAATCGGTCTTGCCAGCTCACCCCATATTGGCTCCACCTTCACATTCACAGCTGTCTTCAGTAATATCAACGGTCAACAACAAGTCAACGGCTCTATTTCTTCCTCCGAGTTTCAGGGGATGAGAGCTCTTCTGGTGGACCCCAAGAAGATCCGTGCTAAGGTCTCTAAATACCACATCGAACGCCTTGGAATCCACGTTGAAGTGGTTCCGGATCTCAGCCTAGGCTTAACAAACACCCCTACAGTAAACATGGTTTTCATTGAAGAAGAAATATGGGATTGTAAGAATGTAGGAAACCCTAAAATGTTGATTCTGTCTAATTCTTGTTCTTCGGATTCCGCGCGGTCTCCGTTTGCGATAACGAAACCACTGAGGGTGAGTAAGCTGGCTGCATCCCTACAGCGTGCCATGGGGATGAGTAGCGGAGGAAACAATCTCAGCAGAGAGATACACGCATTGTCCCTGAGAAATCTCCTTCACGGTAGAAAGATACTAGTGGTGGACGACAATCCGGTGAACCTCAGAGTGGCGGCAGGCGCACTGAAAAAGTACGGTGCAGATGTGGTCCATGCGGAGCGGGGTGCAAAAGCCATCACTTTGCTGACTCCACCCCATCTTTTCGATGCTTGTTTTATGGATATTCAGATGCCAGAAATGGACGGGTAAAATAATAAATACTATTTTTACTACTTTATTTACTCTGTTTTCACTATTTTTATTTACTAAATATATATTTTCAATGCAGGTTCGAAGCGACAGAGAGAATTAGAAAGATAGAATTGGGGATCAAGAATGGGATCGAAGATGGAGAACTCTCTGTAGAAGCTTATGGGAATGTATCGAATTGGCATGTTCCGATTTTGGCAATGACAGCTGATGTCATACAGGCCACTAACGAGGCGTGCGCCAGGAGTGGAATGGACGGTTATGTATCGAAACCGTTTGAGGCTGAGCAGCTTTATAGGGAAGTTTCGAGGGTTTTTCAGACAATGTCCGATGAAAGTCACTAGAAATAAGTAAGTTTCTAGTCTGACGATGCATGCAAAAGAATTGCCCCTTCTTTCCAGAGTTTTCGAATTGGTTGTGCATATTAATCCCAATTGTGAGTATTTCTTCACGTTTTTTAATTTTTATTTTTATTTTGTTTCATGATTAAAAATAAAATAAACTTGTGTCTCATTTTGTTTGCCTTGGTTGATGCAGGAACGCGTTTTTTTTTTTCCTTTTCTGGTCGGTGAAAAAGAGATTTGTATATATAAAGGTGAAGATTCTTTGTGGAGATTTATTGAAAAGAGTGTGCAGTAGTAGATATGATGGGGGAAGAATTGGATATATAGATTAGTTTTTTCATCTATCTTTGTAATGAACCAAAGTTGCGGTGGTGGGGGAGGAGACGGTTAATTGTTTTACGGTACCACCGGTGGAAGTTTTCGTTTATTTGTATGATATGAAGATGATGATAGCAGTTAGATATACACAAGAATGTAAAATGGTATTATTGGGATAATTTAGGATTTTGTATCATATTAGTATATAATATGTTTTGGAGCTTGAATAAAAGGAGTTGACTGGGGTCGTTCCAATTTGTAGAGTCAAATTCAGCAGCGTAGTGTGGCATTTGATTTGACCCATAAATGATTATAGTATACTGGTTTGAGAGTCGTCTCCTTCGATTAACAGATCCACAGACTTGGGGTCTCATAAATAATACCCATTGGGCTTCTCTGATGGTGGACAACTTAGTAGAACATTACATTATTTAGGCCGAAAGCACATCAATTCTTATGATTCATTTACCAGGAATATGTAAATCGAATCACATTTTCAGTACATCAGTTCTCTAAAGACGTAATCATTTAAAACATATTTCCATTAACCGACAGTTGGTCGATATGTCCGAGTGGTTAAGGAGACAGACTTGAAATCTGTTGGGCTTCGCCCGCGCAGGTTCGAACCCTGCTGTCGACGTTGTTTTTATTTTTTAATTTTGTATTTTGCTACTTTTATTTAATTTGATATCCCATATTTAATTCAACAATTTACTAAATATTTTTAAAGGATGAATGAAAAATCCCTACAAAATTTATTTATTATTATAATATATATCTTATACTTGTGGACTAAGTCTTCCAAGACACGCGTCATCACCATCAAAGGGATGAGTTGGCATTTTTGGTGACTATGCTTGTAATATATACGAGTATATATATGTGTTCCTAGACAATGGAATAGAGAGACCAATTTCTTCAGCATACTGTCTTTGTGTCATTTCCTCTATTCAACTAATGATAGCAATACATCTTCTCTCTCTCTCCATCAGAGTTCTTGTTTACTCTGAAAATATATTACAAATATATTAGTTTGCCTTCTATTAATATATAATATGGTTTATTCTATAACACGTTATCAGCACGAGTTTTCGCTCGATAGGGATTTGCTATTTTCGTATTCTTCTTTCTATTTTATTTTACGAAAATCCAGATCCTCGATCTATTGTCCAAAAGACAAACGAGAATGATTAGCGAATACTTCGGTATTTTATACGCTATCATTTCTCAAAGGATATGATCGATGGATTCGTGTATATTAATCTATTGCTTATTTATTTATTGAATTGCTGTTGAAATTTATATTTGCAAGCTTGTGGATCCCAAGCAGTGCTATAAGCACGTGCTATATTTAACAGATCTGTGGGCCGACTTAGAGGCCAAGATATTAACTCCGAGCATGATGCTCGTCGAGTAAAAGATATAATAATCTCAGTTGAATGTCGATTTAGAGACTATGAGATTAACTCCGAGCACAAGCTCGTGGAGCTGGGGAAATAATAATCTCCGTTTAAAGCCGATTTAGAGGCTATCGTTTTAACTCCGGGCGAGTACCCGTAGAGCTTAACAGTGACCGTATTGAGGTCATGCTATAACTCCGAGCCGAAAAACTCGTTGAGTCAAGACGTTGGAATTCCCGTCAAATAAATGAAATATAGCTCCGAGTCTGAAGCTCGTTGAGACAAGAAAGCCGATTTAGAGGCTATACTGTTCATAAAACTCCGAGTCTAAGCTCGTTGAGATAAGAAAGCCGATATAGAGGCTAAATCTTTAATACAACTCCGAGTCAAAACTCGTTGAGACAAGAAAGCCGATTCATAGGCTTAATCATTAATATAACTCCGAGTCTAAACTCGTTGAAGCTAGAAAGCCGATTTAGAGGCTAAATCTTTAATATAGCTCCGAGTCTAAACTCGTTGAAGCAAGAAAGCCGATTTAGAGGCTAAATCTTTAATATAGCTCCGAGTCTAAACTTGTTGAAGCAAGAAAGCCGATTTAGAGGCTAAATTACAAAGATAACTCCGAGCCTGAAGCTCGTTGAGTTAAGACAGGATAATATCCGTCAAAAGCCGATTTAAAGGCCAAATATCTGAAAATATCTCCGAGCCTGAAACTTGTTGAGTTAAGACGTGATAATATCCGTCAAAAGTCGATTTAAAGGCCAAATATCTGAAGATATCTCCGAGCCTGAAGCTCGTTGAGTTAAGACGTGATAATATCCGTCAAAAGCCGATTTGAAGGCCAAATATGTGAATATATCTCCGAGCCTGAAGCTCGTAGAGTCGCTAGACAAGGTAAAACCCGTCAAGAGCCAACTTAGAGGCTATTAATCACAAGCCCAAATTTAAAGGGTTTTGGGTTATCTTGTACCCAGTGTATATTATCTCTCTCGGAAGATGTGATTCCTGAGATTGAGTTATTTTGTGTGTATCCATGTTTAACCTCTCTTGGATGGTGTGATTCCCAAGATCGAGTTGTTTGGGTAAACCCAAATGTACATATCTCCCTTGGAGGATAAATACCCGAGGTCGAGCTGATTTTGATACACGTACATGAAAAAATATGGACAAATATGACTATTGCCTACTCGATAGTGCAACTACACACTCAATATTCAATAATAAAATATATTTCTCGAGTGTGACTTTGTGCAAGGCACAAGTTAAAACCATAGCAGGTTCCGCGGAAATAATAGATAGCTCCGGGAACGCAACAATTGTGTTGCCTAATGGTACCACTTTGCATATTGAAAGTGCATTGATATCCGGTAGATCAAATAAGAATCTACTGAGTTTTAGAGATGTGAGACGCAATGGGTATCATTTAGAGACACTGGTTGAAAATACCGTGGAGTGTCTATGCGTCACATCATATGTCATGGACAAAAGAATTGTTCATGAGAAGTTCGAAGCGACAGCTTCTGTACTGTATTGTGTCCAAATTCGAGCTTTCGAATCCTACGCCACTATGCCATGGAAACTTGTTAATCCCGATATACACGGGTTATGGCATGATCGACTGGGTCACCCAGGAACGACTATGATGCGTAGGATTGCACAACATACTAAAGGACATCCATTAAAAGATACAAAAATCTTGATGTCCAATGAATATTTCTGTGAATCATGTTCACAAGGAAAGCTCATTATAAAACCTTCCATTGGAAAGGTCGGTTATGAATCACCATCGTTTTTACAACGTATTCATGGTGATATTTGTGGACCAATACACCCTGCAAGTGGGCCATTTAGATATTTTATGGTTTTGGTGGATGCATCTTGTAGATGGTCCCACGTATGCTTATTATCTACGCGGAATGTTGCATTTGCGCGTTTGCTAGCACAAGTTATTAAAATCCGAGCACATTTCCCTGATTATCCCATTAAAAACATAAGAATGGATAATGCCGGAGAATTTACATCAAAAACTTTTGATGAGTATTGTGCAGCACTGGGAATAAATGTCGAGCACCCAGTAGCATACGTTCACACTCAAAATGGACTGGCGAAATCTCTGATTAAACGCGTCCAAATAATTGCTCGTACACTGCTGATGTGATCTAAACTCACTAGTGCAGCATGGGGCCATGCAGTATTGCATGCATCAGATTAAATTACGCCCCACTGCTTATCATATGCATTCCCCAATGCAATTGGCATTAGGCTTTGAGCCCGATATTTCGCACCTTCGCACATTTGGTTGCACTGTGCAAGTGTCAATTCCTCTTCCTTAGAGGACTAAAATGGGTCCCCAACGCCGACTTGGCATATACGTTGGGTTTGATTCACCGTCGATTATTAGGTTCTTGGAACCAATGACGGGTGATTTGTTCACCGCTAGATTTGCGAATTGTCATTTTGATGAGACATTATTTATACCGATTTGTAAGGATATTCAAAATATCCGTGATAATGATAAACAAAAAACGAATTCCTTTTGCAATAACATTCTCTTCAGTCTTTCAATTTAATATTAAAATATATATATTTCTCAAGTTTTGGCAGCATATTCGTATATATGAGTTACTAACATTTATTTATTCTATAACATTTATAATATAATAGGCACCCAAAAGCGTAAGCGTGGCAATAATAATAATGAAAGGCAGATTAAGCGTGCAAAGAACGCGAATAAGTGGTGTGACAAAATTACCCCCAAATGTATCTTTAAATTAAAAACCCCTCCCCTCCAGTCCATCTTCTAGTGATTTCTCAAACGAGTGAGAAGCGGCGGGCGGCGGCTAGCTGTATCTTTAAAAACCCCTCCTCCAGTCCAGTGCATCTTCTAGTCCAGTAGTTTATGGATCCAGAAGCAGTGTCGAAGGCGTTCGTGGAGCACTACTATTCTACGTTCGACACAAACCGAGGCGGTCTAGGTAGCCTGTACCAGGAATCTTCAATGCTAACATTTGAGGGACAGAAATTTCAGGGATCCCAAAATATTACCGGTAAGCTCACCAGTTTACCATTTCAGCAGTGCCAGCATCACATCTCCACCGTCGATTTCCAGCCCTCCGGCCCCGTTGGTGGTATGCTTGTTTTTGTTTCTGGCAATCTTCAGCTCTCTGGGGAGCAGCACGCCCTCAAGTTTAGTCAGGCATGTTTCTTTTATCTTCTTCTTCTTTTATTTTTGTTCATTTTCCTGACAATTATTGAATATATTCAATTTTAGATTCATTGTCAACTTGTAGTTAAGACTACAACAAGTTCATTTGAAAATGTGAAGCTGATGGATATTAATCTAGAATCAATAGAGAATGTATGGTAGATGGATATTATGTGAAGATTGAATTGGATTTTAAAATGAATAATGACATGATGATATGAGGTGTGATTTGTTTGAATGATTGAAATTTGAAGGTTTTATCAAGTGATGATTTGTTTGTTTGATTGATTGTTGTTTACATTATTACAGATGTTTCATCTGATGCCAACACCTCAAGGCAGCTTTTATGTGTTGAACGACATTTTCCGGCTCAACTATGCATAAGGAAGGTGGATATATATCTGCTCATCTACACATGATTGTCATTGGGAAGTTGTTACTTCACCTGCTCTATTACTCGTCTTTACAACTTATTTGACATGAATTTATTATTATTATTTTTTTCTTTCTTTCTTTTTTTATGCAATTGGACAAATTTGCTGCCTGCATTATTACATTATTGAGACTTGAGTAGTTTTTATGATTTATTTCATGCTTTCAGTTCAATTTGGCCGTTCAAAGGTAGGCCACGTAAATACATGTTTTACAAAAGAAATATGCTTCAATTGATCATAAATTCCCAAATAAAAAAAGAAAAAACTAGGAAATTGATCAACTTGTTCAGGCAAACATCCTGAACCTATGATCCATAAAAAAGACACTAGTTCTTGACCTAATTCTGGTTGTGTTCGTCGACACCTGGCAGTTCCAATTGAGGAATTTTGAGAGAGGCTTGTTCGGTAACCTGTTTTTGAAGATCGGAAGCCCTTTTCATCATTCCAGACCGGGTTTGCCATAATCCTTTGACTATTCCACCGACGGCTTTGAAGGGATTACTCAATCCATTTTTGATTTTCAAAATTAGAGAAACCTCAGAGAATTGCCAGGCTAGTGTCAGCACTATCAAAGTTGTGAGAAGGCAGTGAGTTATCGAATTCTGCCTTTTTATATTCTTCAGTTCTTTCATTATCTCTTCTTCTTCTTCTTCTTCATCACTACTATCCACTTCTTCTTTCCTCTTTTCATCAATTTCTGAACATATTCTATCCTCCACAGTACCTTCTTCTGTTGATTCTTCACTTACATTTTTATCTTCTTCCACTGATTCCAACTGCCAAACATCAGCAGTGTAAAATTGCACAGCTTCCCTTTTCATTTTATTTCAATCATCTTAGTAAATTCAGAGAGAAACAAAAACTTGTCTGTATTAATAATTACCTCAGAAAGAAGTTTGGAGAGGAGTTGTCGCTGCTGCTGTTGCTGGCGGCGACCACCAGTTTTCTCAATTGCCGGCAAGTTTGACGATGTTTTGGCGTTAAATTCGTCATCCTCCATTAGTTTCCTTACGACCTTCTCTATTATCTCCATGTCTTTCTCTGGTTCCATCTTCCCCCACTCGCTCTCTCTCTCTCTCTCTCTCTCTCTCTCTAGCTGCTGATTCTGGAAATAAAAATTAAAAGCGTGTGATGATAATTCCAATTTCTAAGTGAGATGCGTAATATACACCAAGAGAGATGGGGATGTTGACACGTCTGTCTGCCCTTTTTATTTTTAAGTATATCTTTTCGGCCTCCCAAATCGTGTTTGAATAGCTTCCTACTAATCTTGGCGGTTGAATCAACATCTTTCTTGATATGCATATTTTCAACCAAGTAGGAAAGTTCATGGGTTTTAGCTACTACATTTTTTTACTTTAATTTTAAATATTAGACAATTTTGTTGATGTCCCAAAATGAAGTTGTAACAATAATAAAAAGTGAGGGTCATTCCGTACATTTTGCATTGGTTAGGGAGCTGACGGTAAGCAAAATTCACTTTGGAATTAACAAAGTTGCAATGTTATTTTAAAAGATAATAATGAATTGCACCAACTGTTGTTGCCTGCGTTTCAAATAATGAAGAAATTGATAGGACTATCAAAGCTCGCAGGGCAATTGCTGTTAAGTGTTAATCAATACAAGACTTCTTAATCCATAATCCCCGGAGATGCTTTTGTTTCCCTTCTTTTTACCAAGTCAATTTTTCACTATACTTATTAAGCCATCATCAATTAACAATCTAAAATACCATCGTTCAGATAGAATCTCCTACTGCACAAACTACCTTTGTAATGACAACCAAATTCACGAGTTAAAACCAAATTTACTTGTAGTATTTCTATACAGCCTCTAAAACTGGAAGTAACCGAATTACCAGAAAGTGCAACTTAAATTGAGTGGTAAATCTGATCATTTTCCATACTGGTAATGCCTTGATCTGAAGAAATGTCAAGACGAGAAGAAGATGCTGTATCAGATTCTGCGGTTACAAGCTCGGCCTGACATAACAAAAAAAATAATATCAGTAAAGCACGTACTATTTCATTTTTAATGAGAAAGCTGTAATGTGATTTACCTTAGCTTGACGATATTTTTGGAGAATGCGATGATATTGCTGACGTGCCTCTGTAGATTCGACCATAGACAGCACTCTAGCGACAGCTTCATCAATAGCTTTATCCACTTTCTGCTTTCGGAAAACCTTAAGTATGTCTTCATCCTCACTCTCATCAATTGATTCCGAGTCGTGCCGAAACCCACGTAAACCAACTCCTCTTCTGCGCCATCTTAAGACAACCTTCTCCAGTATACCAACTGCCCAACATACCTTGTAATTTTTCCTAACTTGATACCCCCTCACATGAGCCTGCATTCAGTGACACCATGTTACGAGTCTCAACTTCATACCTTAAACTGGGTTTTTAAATACCTCTTTTCTCATCCTAATCTCCAAAGTTAAACGACTAAAATATTAATATTTGACGAGAACAGGTGACGCACCTGTATCTTCACAACTTTCTGGCGCAATGAAAGGAAGTCCTTCCTACCTTTCCAGCCTCTGTATTTCTTTTGAATAGATAAAGCAGCCGAGTTGTACTCACGTGCATTGCGGAATGCCAGCTTTGATGCGGCTGAAAGCCCGTGAATGTCATTAGCTAACAAAGCGTAGTCATCACCATAAGCACCGGCCATCGCAACTGCAACTTCTGTCTGCTGCCTCTTCCGGAAGGAATGAGCACGGAATGCAGATTGTATTCGTGCTGCAGCTTGAGTAGCATTACGTACCGCATCCAGAGTATGCCTAAGAGAATCCTCATCCTCGTTTGCGGAGGAACTTTCTCTTGATAAACTATTTATTGTTCTTTCTGCTTCCAAGGCAGCTGACCCCTTAGATAGCTCACTTTCCTCCAGTGTGAGGGATGAAAGGTGGCTAATTAGTGAAACTTCTGAGAGATACCCTGCGAGTCCTTTGTGGCCACAGGTGGCAGCAATTGATGCTGGTGTTTTACCAATAGGGTCCTGTGTATTGGGATCTGTAACTGCACCAGCTGATGCACCAGATGCCATGAGAGCAGCCACCATCTTTTCCCTGTCACAAATGTAGCATTTAAAGTTCATTTTTCCAGAAATATACATTGTTTATCGGTGAAAAGCTTTTCCCCTGGAGATACTAACATGGACTAGCAATTTGGAAGTTCAGAGTAAAGCAATTTGAAAATTAAAACTATTATATTCCATTGAATTTGGGAGGTTTTGGAAAATATATATCACGGAATAAAACACTGCCCTTTCTCTTCCTAAACCAGTGCAGCATATAACCATATAAAAATTCCTACAGAAACATATATCTGAAGAACATGTTTCTAAAACAAAACAACATACCTCCCAAATCGTGCAGCCCAATGAAGCGCAGTCCATCCATTAATGTCACGGAAATTAATGCTTACTCCTGCATTCACAATTGGTTGCAATGCCCACTCAAATCCCAATCCAGCAACCATGTGTATGATACCTTGTTCTTTCTTTGATAAATGGTTATTCTTTTGTAACTTAGACGAAAGCCACACTTCCATCTTGTCTTTCAAAAGTTCTTGCAGAAGCCAATCAAGAGTACTTGATGATGTTGAAGTGCCAACTAAAAGTGCATCAATGATTTGGTTCCATGAGTCTTCTTCAGCTACTCTTGATTTGCCAAACGAATCAATTCTTGATTCATAGTCATCTTCTTTTGGCAGGAGATCAGATAGAAGCATTTGCACAAATCTGACAAGCAACAAGAGTTCTTCAGAACTCTTATTAGTCTCTGTTTCAGGTTGATTACTGTGCGTACAAAGATTAGGCTTAGCACGATATTCAAATTCTCTGACTTCGCTGCAAGACTCCCGATTCCCAGAAGTAATACAAATATTGACTTTTCCCTGCAAGTGAAGTGGAGCATTGCAGCGGAGGACACCTTCCTGAATAATCTCAACTGGAACTTCAGTGTCACCAATCATACAAGCCCATGCACACTCTGATGGATCGGAGAAGAAAGACCCAACAATGATGATCTGAAAATGGAATTAGAACCTTAATTAACTTCCTTTGTACATTAATATTTAATAGAACACTGAACAAACCCCACAAACAAATTCTGTGATGATATTGAATAATGTACTTATGTATGTCTGCAGCTAGAGTAGCAAACCACGTATCGGCGGTCTAGGGCCAACAAAGGACACCGACTTGTATGTCATATATAGCATAGGGCAAACTGATTCAACTTTAGCCAATAATATAATGTTTTGAGGACTCAAAGAAGTCATTGTCTTATTGGATAGTTTGAACATAATGTAAGCCTTCCTAAAACAGATAACTGCTTTCGGGAAGTACCCTTATGTGGTAATATAAGCATATTGCATCAGCATTGCTCAGTAATACTCAAGTTACATTAAAGAAAGCTTCTATATATTCAAATATAATAATGCAATAGCAACGGGAAATTTGATTTCCATGACAGATACCTTTGCTCCGTCAGAGGTATAACACCACTCTGGAGATATCTCACGGATAGTGAACTTCTGCTTTTGAGCAACAGTCAAACTTATATTGTTTTCAGGAGAAATTCCCAATCCATCTTGGTCAAATAATGACGTATAGTCTGCAGTGGTCCCATAAGCATTTGATAGAGGAGAATATGCATCAAATTTCAGTGAATCTACTTCTTGGAAAATCAAAGAAGCTGACAAGGTAGACAGATGCGTGTTAGAGTTGAAAAAACAAAGGAATCCAAAAAATAATAAGTAGAGATTGTTCCATGAGAGAATCTTACAAGCATCGTGTCTCTCAGATTGTGTTTGTGAATCATCATTCAGCAAAGTCTTGGATCCATCCAGCATCTCTTGCCAAATGTCAACATCGGCCACTGACAGTTGTTGATGTTGCCGAACTTGGTCATCTAAAAAGCCATGCCCCATTAGCAGCCGTAGCGACTTACTTGGTTTCATTCCTGATTCTACTAACTTCAAAATATTATTTGAATTGAGAATATATATATAATATAACCTAATACCTGGTTTCTGTGAAAGAAGATCCTGTGGACCATTTAGTAGTGTCTGACCAGAAAATTCATAATCACGTAGCATGTCTTCTAGATCATTTGAATCCTCATTCTCGATGTAGATTCTGTCAATTTCTTTCACCTCATCATCATTTAAACTCAATTGCTCTTCAATCCTTCGTAATGCCTGACTTAAAGTCGGCACCGATGAACTACTGACGTCATCTGTTCTCTCCTCAAGATCCAACTGACTCATTCCAATATTCTTGATGACTTGACTAGAGCTAATCTCTACAGAGCTGGGACTGGATTCGTTATGATACATTCCAATAGATTCACTAATGACAAAAGAAGAGTCTGGTCGATCAGAAGCAAAAGAGTTGGGATTAGGACTGAAGGTAGAAGGAGATGTTGAAAACTGAGATGTTGATCCAGCACTCTGTCGTCTCTGTAATCCACAATTATGTTGGACAAATATTGTTAATTTTGAAGTAGATGAATCCATGAAATGATGAGCCCTGAAATCATGGAATAATACACCAACAGAAGGTCTGTACGTAAAGAATGGTTCCATTAATATTTTTTTTAAAGCCCTTACAAATGGCCTACAATACCCTACCGAAAGGAAATTGAACCCTTGACCTAATACTACCCTCCCCACCCTAATACCACTCAGGCAATGCCTCCGCATTTATAAAGAACGGCTTTGTTAGCATATTTGCAGTGAAAGTTTAGCTTGGTACAGAGGTAATTTCAGGCAGAAACACTTGCCCAAAAGATTAAAGTATGCATTATTTGGACATGAATGACAAGAAATTTTGTTCCATCAGGGAAGTCAATGTACCTCTAGCCAGAGCCTTCAATTTTTTATAGCTAAGAAAATAATGAAAACATATGCCGAATTGGCAGTTATATTGATACACTTCTGAATGATGAAAACTTAGGATAATAGCATTATGTGTAAATGTAGTTAACATATTGGTTTTGTCCATGGTTATGCTCGAGATTGTTTACCTCGTTAATATCTCTGTAGTGAACAAGAACAATGTGCTCATATTCCCTGGTACAAAAACATATATTTGTTGAAAAATATGTATATAGATATACGTGTATAGAGATAGATAGAGAGAAGGAGAGAGATTGACTAGTTCAGATTATAATTATAATAAAAACATTCTTGACCAAAATCTATCTTGAAAATACTCATAACTAGATGCTTATGTTTAGCTGCATACAAAATTTATTATCTTCTATCCATAAGCACTACAAACCTAATGATACCACTGTGACATTTATATCAATTACAGTTCTCACCAAGAGTAAATCGAGCAAAGGTTGTCATAAAAAAATATGCAAACGTACCGATCCAGTATCCAGTAGCTGCGCCTTTGAAAGCTAGGGTTCTCCTCTCCATGGGCGTAATAACAGTTTAGGGCTTCAACATTTCCAACCTACAACAAGAAGATTGTCAGATAACAATTTCACATCAACTAGAAAAAAGAAGAACAATAACCGTAAAAAGGAAAGGGGGAAACTTAATGAGCATCAAAATGGGAATATCACCAACAACCTTAAGCCGTTCATGTGCTTCAGCAAAAGTTTTCTGATCCTTCCTTCTACGCCAACTATGACCATCTTTGCGGAAAAATTTTAGCACTCGCTTGTTGAACAGATACAACGATCCACCTGTTAAATTTTGAGATGGAACAAAAGTTGATATTCGTCACATCCTTGAGCATGGGAGAGAAATGAAAGAGAAAATAATGAATATTACTAGCAGGTTTTTGAGGGATTTGGTGGGTGAGCTGGTGTTCTTCATAATTCTTCAATATGAAAAACACTTCAACCGGCTTCAGCCACCGACTTTGAGCTTCCCCAGCCAGATAATTGATGTCATATCCTGAAAATTAATAATAAATAAATAAAATTGCATAAGTGTAACTTAACCAAATCAGTTGCACTTGATAGGACATGGTATCTTTGAATAATTACGGCTCTCTCTTTGATCTTAGATTCCATTCATGTTGCTTCACATACTAATTCAATTTGTAGACAAGCTTCAAGTTCAACACACAAAAGCAACCAAAAAGAAAAAAAGAAAAAAAGAAAAAAAAAAGGAAGCAGGACATCAAATTCTTCGTTATATCAATAATACACATGAACAAGGTACTATACTTTCATCTAGAAATAATACTGTCTTAGACATCCATCCGGACATAGCAGCATTCACAACTGATTAAGCTATTTTCTGATAATCACATAATTCTACACACGTCTTCCAGTTCAGTTTTACGTGAACGCACGAATCACATGGAGATTTAATTGTCATTTTGTTTGAGAGAAGGTTCAAGCTCACAGTGTAAGAAGACATCATATATCAATGTCCAAACACCACCAGACATCTACGCTAAGTCATCGGATGTACCACAGTTTTTAAACTCGATCAGCAAGTTATACCAAGGGTTAACATCTACTCCAACTTAAAGAGAAGTGTCAGAATTTAAGACTGTAGTTAATTCTGATTAGATTCTCTGTTGCTTTTTTGGATGCATTAATTTGATCAACTTGTTCAGAAAGTGCTTGCTGTTGTTTAGGCACATAATTCTTCTTATTTTGCATAGAATATCAAACACCAATTGCACATTCATTCAAAAATATTGTGATATCAAATATACACAATTTCGTTTTATTTTATATTTTTCATGCCTTGTAGCATGGAAAACTACTCTTGACATGCTTCTCTGCTAAGTCATAGATTTAAAAGGTATAGTAAACCATGAAAACACTAAAGCTAGCAAAACACCGAATATCCAGATGTAATAAGGTCTTTTATCAGAGAATCTTACACCATTTAAATCTGAAAATACAGGCTAAAAGCATCATCCAGCTATACCGCCTCATAAAGTCTTATTCATTGGAAATCCAGAATCCGCAAAATCTTTTGAACTTATTCGAACTTTATTCATAATTGTTTTTTTTTTTTACAATTTCAAGTGGTTCGTTACTTATGTCAAACAACAAGTCTGCCGCAAATGCTAATTACCAGAATCATATGATAAACAGGTTGTCACAAAAACTGAAACCGTCGAGAATTTGTAGGAGAACTACCTCAAAGTTCAGGAGACCTCACCGAGATATAAAATTTTCGAGACTTAAATCAATAAAATGCATTTATCAAAAAAAAAAATAAAAAAAAATCAATAAAATGCAGGAAACTCGTTTAATCCAACAGAAATAGGAGAATTTGTAGGCATAAGCTACAGCGATGTTTAATTAGATCATAAGAGATGAGCGGAAAACAAAGGAGGGAGTTATGTCACCTGATTGCATCGTAGTGGAACAATTCTCAGCAGAGAACTCTTAGACGCATGAATCGCAGGGGAAAAACTTGGCCGTCGCGCATTTAAGCAAATTTCAGTGACTACAGAGTACGACAACTTGGAATTGGTTTTGGAGTCGGAGATCCTACGACGTCGGGTTGATCAAAACTCCAATAGAGAGAGAGAGAGAGAGAGAGAGAGAGAGGATTTTGACTTGTGTAAAATGAGCAGCAAAAAGAAACGCAGCAATTAAAACCGAAAGAAGAAATATCGCAGAAGCCGACGCAGACTAAAAGGAAAAAGAGTAAATATTATTATTATATTGAATAATATGAAATGTGAAGTAATTATTTGTATAATAGGTATTGACCAAGTAAAATATAGTGAGCTGGTTGGGGTTGAAAAATTAGACCAATTATGGTTGACTGATTTATAGCTACAGTAGACTTACACACCATTTTCTCACTAAATTTTGTTCAAGGGGTACTTGGATGTATTTGAGAGATGAAATTCAAAAATAAAATAACATTATTCAGTAGATATTCTACATTAACTTCTATTAGTATATAATTGACTTGAGGGTCCGTTTTTTTTTTTTTTTTTTTTTGTTAATTTATATACAAGCGGTTTGTTAGTCATGTTGATTACCTTGTGTTTGGGGGTAGCAAACGCAATTGTGGGTTATAGCTAGGCAGCCTAAAGGTGGCATTCACCATTTCATTTGGTGTTGAGTGGGCAATTAAAAGATTGGAACAATTAAAAATGGGGCATCCATCACAAACACTTAAATAATAATAAGTAGAATAATAATGTTTATCACGTGTTGATTAAAATAATATGGTTAAAAAAATGATTCCATCTACCTACCCTCTTTTTTAACCTATATAGATATATACTTGTCTCATCATTCAGAAAATTACAACTGTTGTTGATTATGTGTTTTGTTAGTAGCACTTTTTGAGGCATTACTTGGTTACAAAAATAAATCCTAATATAATTTGAAGATAAGAAACCAAATGAAATTAGCGGTTGGAATGGAGATGATTATCTATTCTAAATTGGTAATGAGGATCGGAGTTGTTGCTTTGGGTCTCACACGAACTATTCAACTAAATTAAAAACCTTTGGTCCAGCCCATTTTCTTATCCAGTAATGAAGCGTTAATGTATTTGGGTGGGCCCCACATCACACTCTGATCCAACAACATCACATCATCTTTTTTTCTTTTTCTTTTTTCTAAAAAACTTTTGGATAGAGAGAGAGACGTGCTTCAATTGATTATGTTGACTTATGAAAGCTTAAGAAAATGAATCCAACTTCAGTCCAGGATCATTCAAGCCTTTCTCTTTTATTTTTCAATTAACTCAATATCATATATATATTGTGGTATTTATTCCAAAAACAAAATTGTGTATATATATATATACTCACCTCATACATAATAAAAGCTTTTCTAAGGTTAGTAACTCACAGCTTTACAACTTTGGAATAAAAATCAATGGATTGTCAAGTTTAATTTATATGGTTTATGGAAAGAAGATGACGGACGTTAACTACTCACCAACAATAATTGACACTTAGAGGGTGTTTGGCTAAGCTTATTTTAAACAGCTGATAAGCTCTTACGTCTGATAAGATGTTTTAAGAGCTGATAAGCTGTTACATCTTATTTTTAAGATTAATTTTTAGAGTGTTTGGATAATGGACTTATTTCATATTTTTACTCATTAAAAGATCTTAAATAAAAAGGTGGGGTATATGTACTTATTTAAAAAGATCTTATTTGCTCTCCAACAACTTATTTTATAAAAAATTAAGATCTTTTTCTAAAAATTTACCAAACACTTTGGAAGAGCTTATAACCTCTAAAACATCTTATAAGCTCCTTTTAACATCTTATAAGCTTAGCCAAACACCCTCTTAAACGTACGTACGTTATTATATATGTGATGATCTATCTGTTAGACGGAGAAGTAATTAATTAGTTTTTTAAGCTATATAAATTAGTTTAATACATTAAATATGAGTTGAAAAGCAACAAAAAGAAGAAGTGTCGGTGGAATAAATAGTTAATTAAGGAAAATAAAAAAATAATAAAGATATTGGCCGGTAAGAGTGAGTGTGAAGATATATAGATGTGATCGATCTGGAGATTGTGCCACGTACATATGTTATATATATGTATATGTTATAGATAAGCAAGCAAGCGTGTATAGATGGAGTTGTAGTTACTTACGGTCATCTATCTCTATCTCTTGATTACTAGCTAATTCTGAAGCTAGCTGCAGCTGCAGGGAGAGTATCGATCACATGAGTAAATATATATATATATATATATATATTCTTTGCTTCACTCGATCTCATACTTGGGAATAAATAATTAACTAATGAAAGAATTCCCCGCCCCATTCACAACACCCCATATATATTTAAGTTTAATATAAATACAGTACACTACACACACCAAGGAACGCATACATAGGTGAGCGAGCTAGGCATATTTTGAAGAGAGAGAGAGAGAGAGAGAGAGAGAGAGAGAGATAATAAAAGGAATTAAAGGAAGGGGATCTATATATTAGGTAGGTAGGGGTGCAAGGGTGATAGGAGAATGGCAGATTGGGGACCGGTGGTGATAGCGGTGGTGCTGTTCGTATTGCTGAGTCCGGGGCTCCTGTTCCAGTTGCCGGGTCGGGGACGGGTGGTGGAGTTTGGTAATATGCAGACAAGTGGGTTATCCATTTTAGTACACACTGTCATCTTTTTTGGGCTTATCACTATTTTCCTCATTGCTATTGGTGTCCACATCTACGCCGCCTAGCTGATCCATCCATCATTATAATTATCTAAAATTTCCTAGCTTGCTTGCTATCTTTTATTTTGTACTCCTAGTACTAGTACTTTTCTTTTCTCGTACCTGTGTGTGTGTGTGTGTGTGTGTGTGTGTGTTTGGTTTTGATGGTTTTGATGGTTTTGATGTTAATGTAAAACTTGCAAGTTTGTGTTTTTGTTTCTTCTAATTTCTTTATTTTGTCGCCGCCTCTGATCTGATCTGATCTGATCTTGGGCTTGTAGCTTGTAGTAGTTTATTCATCCATTTAATCTCTCTGTTTTTCTTTTTTGTTTCTTGTTTCTTGCAAATTCAATTCCTCTGTTCAAGACAATATATATTATATTTACCATCATCTGTTGATATATGTATGCAAGGAACTCGGAAAATGGGGATAATTATATATGTTTGGGGTTCCAGACAAGAAAGATCATTATATTGTTGAGTTATAAACATATATGGTAATTAACACCAAATTTAATACTTAATATTTGAGTTACAGAGGATCGGAGTATAAAAACCAGAAGATAACTACATTTATATTCCCACCAATCTCATCATCAAATAGCTAGGTAAGTGTATAAGAAAATATTATTACTACAATCTGTATTATTAATGCTAAATTAGCACAAGAAAATAAAGCATTAATTAATATATCATATTCCCACAATTTTGGTTGCTCCACTATATTCAGACTGTTGATTCTTCAGTTACAGAAAGATGATGATGATGATGATGATGATGATGATGATGATGATGATGATGATGAAGATGTTCGTTTAATTACGTACCAAGTAAGTAGAGATCAGTATACTTAAGAAATATCCACAATTATGTATGCAGCAGCCAAAGTCTTGTCCAATAAACAAGTGTGTTACGTTGTGCCTCTGTGCTCTACTCTGTTTATCCATACATAATAACAATAATAATATCCAGCTTTATATCCAAATGCCTCACAAAAATTTCCAGTCTGCACCAAACCAAACAACAGTCATTTTAACATTATCAAAAATCCAAAGTAATTAATAACATTGTCGCGTGATTTCTCACTCACCAATCATTCATATATTATACCTCATCCTCATTAATTAATTACCACAAAATTAATTAGTTTAATCTCTCTCTACTAATTATATTAATTTGCATACGCATCCCAATTAATTTCGAGCCTAAACACACACACACACACACACACACAGAAATGACATGAGATTGAAAACAATAAGTGGTGATGATGAAAGATAGATAAAGTAAGTAAAGTAATGTAATAATCTCCCACAGGCCACAAGACATGATGGATCATCAAAAAATAAAATAATTAGTACGTAATTGTTGAACAAGGAAGGAATCTTACAATGTTTAGTAGAAGAATTAGAGGAGGACATGAAAATAGATGTACAAATCATGGATATGCTGGAAACCACTCCCACAAAGTAGAGTAGCATAACCAGAAAAAGAATCCAAGGCATCAAAACAAGTCCGATAAAAAAAGTCACCGATCCACACAGCATCATAGATAAACATATTCCCATTAGCAAACATGCAAATCCCGACAAGTCCAACGACCTCCTCCTCCTCCTGATCACCGCCCCTGGGGCTGGGGATCGTATAATATTCAATACCAGAGCTGATACCTCGTCCACAATCTTTGATCCCCCCACGTAATCATCGTCTTCATTACTTTCATCCTGCCTTGTCATCATTCGATTCTCTCTCTCTCTCTCTCTCTCTCTCTCTCCAACTCCTCGATCGCCAAAATCTATCTAGGTAACAAAAGGATAAACTTTACTTGGATATTTGCCAGTTTCACAACATATTTGCAAGTCTATTTTTTCCTTCTTTTTTTTTTTTTTTTTGAATTATATTTGCAACTAACAAGAAATGAAGAGGTTCTTGGCTATGGAGATTGATTATTATTGTGTCTTTTCAAGTTTCTTTCATATTACTCTCACAAATTAATATAATTGTTGCTTTGAAGCTTTGGTTTGACAAATTAAAGAATGGTAGGTGTACAAAATCCCATGCTACGCGCACACATATATGCTTTCAAGACTTGTACACTGCCGCTCCTCACCTTTTTTTAAACCTCTCATTTAAACACCTACCTCAATTATTACATCATATATCATATATGTTACACACTTACACCTAACCAGATTTCAACATTAAAGTCGTTACACCTAAATAATTATATATATATATGAGTTTTAGCTCTTATATTATAAAATTCCACTAGACTTGTAAATTTATTAGAGAAATTATTATGGGCGATGAACTTGACCTGTTGACAATGAGAAATCGAAGTTGAATAACTTGACCAATTTCATAAAAATACTATAATGTATTATATATGTGCATGTTAATTAATGAATTAATGGATATTTTTATCTAATTATAAAAGGGTTAAGCATTAAAGGTGAGTAAAAACATTAGAGGTGAGGGAGGCTACGTATGGCGGTGTGAAAAAAGAAAAAAAAAAAAAAAAAGTGATGAGGGTACAACACCTCAAAGACGATAATTGTAGTGGGTGTACGATACACCGAAGCGCAGGTGATATTTCCCTTTATGATATATGATATAAGTGAGAGTCATGATGACTCATCCGTGAGAAAGCAGGTAAATGGATTGGAGTGAGAACCGAGATGGGGCCAGGCTGACACGTTTATGTGGAAGGTGATTAATACGCGCGTCGGCCCAACTAAATAATTAGTTTATTGGGCCCACATGATCCTCTTCGGCCTACTGTGGCCACAAATTGGTAATATTTTCCATGGCGACGTGGCAAAGAGCCCGCGTTTCAATTGGTGGAAATGGGAAAAAGTTAATAAAAAGGGTAAATTACAAACACCCCCCCTGAGGTATGGTTAAATTACAAAAAAACCCCTCTTGTTTGGATAATTACATCTACCCCCTCAACTATGATTTTTTCTTACCTTTATGGTGCCAAATTCAACATAGTCATCTAGATTCCGTGAAATGTGCTCTAGTTTGTACTCTTTGTATAAAAAATACAGTTTCCGATGCACCACAAACTGATATATACAAGCTAAAAATCACATATTATGGTCATCTTGCTTCATAATGTAGAGTTTGAATGGGATAAAACGGGTACAAAAGTGATAATATTCCACATAATCTCGAAGATTCCACTAAATTTGATGAGTTGAGGGGGTGGTTGTAATTATCCAAACAAGAGGGGTGTTTTTGTAATTTGGTCATACCTCAGGGGGGTGTTTGTAATTTACCCTAATAAAAAAGATTGGGTGGTGAATTGCTGCATGTTGTGAGGAGTTGAAAATATTATTTATTGAATCAGAAAATAATTGAAATATAAATTTGTATTATTGTGGTACAAGATGAAGAAAATAATAATAATATATATATATATATAGGCATGCAATAACTCTGTTGGGGAAGGAGTTAAATATGAGTCAAGGAACTGAATTGACAATCAGCTGGCTATATTCCTGGAGGATCGTTGGCGGATGGATGTACGTAGGTTCAAATCGGCTATATATGTATTTTCACGTACATCCAACCAATTAAGTTGAAGTTGATCATCACAAATATAATCCAGTACTCTAACCCTCTCAATATATGTTAATAAGAGGGATCGGCAGTACGTGTGTGCGTGCTTGAGCTCAAGAACACAACATTAGCCGCCCTTATATATTAATTATTAATTAGTCAATGGCACTCATGTAACGACTAGCTAGGGTCGTCTGAATAACTAAGAATGAATACATATATATACTAGACAGAATGCATATATAGTATAATTAAGACAGAGATGGAAGATTAATGATTGAGAATTTGGTGATGATGAAGATGATCGATCGATCAATCAATGGATCCATCAGGTTTATGCATGAGAGAGGTAGCAGTAGCAGTAGCAGTAGTGCAAATGATGAATTGAACATTGAAGCTCTGCTGTGCTGAAATTAATATGATTCATCAATGGATCGAGATCAGGCCAACCAGCCCGGCATATAGTTATTAATGACAGACGACGTACTAGGCCCTGCTCCTGCACCATCACCTATTTGATCATCATTCTCGTACCTGATAATATAATTAAATTACCCATCAAATATTATATAATGTATGTATACATTAATTATGATATGAAATTAGGTATGAAAGAGGATATATGGATGTATACAAACATAACCAATTTGAAGAGTGGGTTCTTCTAATTCAAGAGGGTGAAAGAATCCATCGTTGTTGTTGTTATCCCTTCCTCCTCCTCTTCCTTGATGTTCTTGATGTTCTTGATGATGTTTTCTTCCATAGCCGCCGCCCATATGATGATGATGCTGATGATGATGATAATGATATTTGATCACCTGAATTCATATTTATATTATTAATATTAAAAAATATTAATATTGGGGTTCCAACCCACACCTATTGGGCAATTCCTTCAATCAACTGATCATTAATGCCATTTACAAAAACAACCATTATTAACTATTCATTTTCATGAACAAATCGATCAAATGAATATATATAAATATATATACTATACATACTATACCCGTTGTTTCAAACTTTTGTTAGCTTCATTCAGCGCATGCATGCATGCTCCTATTAATAACCATATACATGGAAACCCAACATAATTAAGGCATATTATTATTATTAATATTAATAAAAAAGAGTGCAGCCAAGCTAGCATTACTAAAAGTTAGATCATTCAGATCGAGTTCATATGTATATGATGAATACAATATGATATATACCTTTCTCTGAAGATCTGTGAGGGTGTCCAGCATTGCTTGTGACTGCATACGTACATATTAAAGTTCATGCATGTAACTTTAGTTAATTAATTAATGTTGAAATCAATATATATATATAATAATGTAGGAAATAATTAGTTAATTGTAAAATAATGGGGAAGTAATTAGGTACCCGTGTTGATCTGATCTGCTTGAGGGACATATCGAGCTGCCTCTCGAGAGATTCAAGATCCTTGCTGTTCAAAAGGACCAAGATCCGTCCTCACCCAGGCCAGTAGATTTCTG